GGGGGCTTATCTGGAATATCTGGGAGGCGTGGGGCATAGAGCGTTCTCGCGAGGAACGGTCTGGGAGGGACGGGAATGTCGGGTTTTTCTGGGACGCCGATCGTGGCTGGCAAGGGGAAACATGGCACGAGAATGTCGTGGTAGCTTGCGCCGCCGCCTTCGGTGGTGATGATTTTGGCGTAGTCTTCTGCCGTTACTTCGTAGACTACGCCGACGAGGCCTTTGGTCCAGTTGATTGGTCTGCGCTGTCGATTGCTGGAAGAGAAAGGGGGCATCTTTGGGGGGTCAGGGAGGTCGGGCATGTCAGGGACTTTGGGGGGCAGTTTTGGAGGTTCTGGGAGTTTACGCAGGGCGGTGTTGGCGAAACATGGTTCGCGATATGGGAGACCGGGCAGGTCAAAGGTTAGGTCGAGAGAAGGGGCGGATACGTTGATTTGGCTTAGGGGACGGATGCCGCGCATGCCCAGGAAGGTCTTTGAGCACATGTTGGAGCCATAGGCGAGGTAGAGGACAGTATTGGATTTGGAGGGCTCATGGTGGGCGTTTCTGGTGAGGATTGGCTCGGTCGGGAAGGGCTCGCCGGTTGTGGGCACGGCATCGGCTTCGAGGAGACGGGTGGCCGGCGTGGGTGGGATTGAGGAGATGGGAGGATATGTTGGCTTGGATGGTCTGGCGGCCCAGGACCAGAGGACTTGGACATGTTTCAAACTCCAGAGAGCGGTGTCTTCTTTGGTTTCCGGATTCGATGGCGCAAGTAGACCTGTGGCTGTTGAAGCTGCTTTTGGAGACATGTTGGTGGTATTACACAACAGTTAATTACCTGTTTGGGTGGTTGATGGATGGCGCAATTCACAATGGTGATGGCAAATCAAGCACTGGGTGGTTTATATAAGAACTGTCTCGCTGTCCCGTCCCCTGCCGGCCCAGGCTTGCCGGAAGCGTTTGGAGTTGCACAGCGGAGCCCACGTAATTGGCAGGGATCTTCGGGGCCGGGACTTGTGGGGGTTTGGTGCCATTTCCACTGAAGGTTCATCCGCTGTCCGCTACCCTATTTTCTGGAATTCGGGTTTAGCCCAACTCCGAGTAACACGATGACAAAGCATTAGTTTGGAGGCTCGGAGACTTTGTCGCCGTATTTTTCAAATCTCCGGGAGAATTATCAGGTTGACAGCCGTACGTATTTGTGCCTGTGGCTGTTGAAGCACCGTGAGCTCCTGGTCCTCCCAAAATCCGTGGCAGTTAGCTCCTCATGACCAATGGTAAGAGAAATCCGGGATTTTCTGCATGCTCTTAATGAACGTCCAACTTTAACCACCTTTCACCAGCTCCAACAACTTCCTACTCTACCATGACTAAGGCACTGAGAAATAGATTCAGACTTTCTTAGAAAATCCGGTTCCGTCAATATGTGGCAGTCACGTTGCGAGGTTGAATCAATGAGTCGGTAGCAATATCTTTAACATGCTCTCGATTAACAATGTTCCGGACAAAGCCTTGGTACTATCGGTGCTTATCCCCGGAAGGTTCGATTCTGCAACTTCATGACTTTTTGGCTAACTCGGTCAGTTCTAGATGCTAGATATCGACAATTTTCTTTAGAATCCCAGCACTGTCTAATGTACCCCAACCCATTCCTCGCCCCCTAAGAGCGAATGACACAAAAGGGACATACCAGGGGCTGACATGGGGAAGACTGTGGCAAAGTATCTTATACTACCACCTTGCCCACAAATTAATCGAGACACCAAACCACCCAAATCGCAGTCACTTACACAAGAACCTCCAATTTTAACCAACCGTATTTTAACCGTCCTGTGGCCAAAGGCCTCCGAATTTTGAACAGGAGTAGGCCTGTGGCACTATACCCTTAAAATATTTTCCTAGGCTCTTAGAGAGTGTGGTTGGGGAGGAGGACGTGTGAAGAGGGGTCTTTATTTGGTGTCTCAATTATTTTGTGGGCAGGGTGACTACTTCGTGTTCTACTGGTTTAAATGTTTGCTGTCGTAGGCAGCTTTTCTTTTTTGATGAAACCTCCCCTGACCTGTTGGGGCCCAGTTCATCACTATCACAAATTCATGCACAAGCCTCAACAGTACGTCCAGCAGCATGTGGTTTTACTACTTCCCCTTCTATTTGGCTGAACTGAAGTAGCCCGACCTACCCCATAAACTCGAAATCCCGTTTGAAGAAAACACTTGCTGGTCCTCTAAACGCCTTCGCTCATAAGTGTAAAATCTGGGTGAAAAGCCATAACTCCATCCCAACCAAGCTCCACAGGATACCAATCCCAATCTTTTGCCTTCAGCCACAAAACTCCAAGTTTTCCACCCTAACCATGAATCATTTATTATGAAACTTCATGGTAGGAAACCCTTAGGCGAAAGCCTCGCAAACTCAGAGTGGTCCACCACCACCGAGGAAGAATGGCAGATATCGCAAGACTGGTAGCTCAGCATCGACATCTTTGTCTTGCTTGTTGTCGGGAGTACCTGTAACTTGCGCGTCATCGGTGTTTGGGCGAGACTGGACTCTGTTCCGCAACGAGCTCTTGACTTTGGCGGAATGGGAGTCGACCTTGCCTCCTTTCTCGACTGATTTGAGCGTCTCAAAGGTGATGTACTGGGACGTGGTGGAGAAAGAAGATCTTTGTGGTGTAGATGATCCCCCGCCGGTCGGTGACTCATAATGATATGACAAGAGTTGCTTCTGGGCCCTCAGGCGGCGAACAGGGACTTTGGCCGGGAGTAGTGATACGGGAAGACGAGCAGATGCCTGTTGAGGAGGAGGCGGAGATCCGGTAGACACACCAGAATAGTCGATGTTCCACACCTGGCTTTTATTGATGGGAGAGTAGACCTTCAAGTGGAAGACGTTGTCCTGGGAATTGGGCACCAAAAGTTCCTTCGCTTTCCACTCTTTCCATCTCTTGACATCGTCAAAACCCATGGTAACACAGTTGAGTCTTCTAATGCTGGGAAGAGAGGTGACTGGTTGGTTGCTCGCTGGGCGGATGGCCGAAAGGGCACTGCGAGAGAGGAACGTAGACGACATTTCGATGGTAGTTTGATGAATGGATCGTTTCTGTATCGTGATTTGGGTCATTCGGTGCTAACGGTGAAGACGGTAGTTGAATGGGGAGAGGAAGGATGGGCTTGCCAAGTGGCAGAGAGAAGAAGACACACTTTATAGTACTTTCAGATTGAGGAGCCTGGCTGTGAGCTTGATTCACTTGGGGCTTTGCTGGGAGCAACTTGAATCTGCAGTGAACATGGCTGTTGCTCCAATTGAAGCTATTCGTCAGGATCAGTTGAATAGCACCGATGAGGGAATGGGAGCAACACATACAGTTAGCTGCTCCAGAATGCCTCCCCAAGACGCTCCCAAAGACCCGCATCACGCGTGAATACACATCTTCACCTCCGTAAAATGAATGAGTGAATAAAAAACCGACGAGGCGCACAGTATGGCTGTTGGGACTGTGAAGGCGAGAGTCTAATACCATTCATTCCCTGGAGTTCCCAGTCAAGCCCAGTCACCGCAAATGATAGCTATGTGGTGTCCTCTAGATGAACAATAGAGTTATAGCCTTCATACCTATATTGATACTCTCAATCCCATCTCTAGGTAGCCAAACATTGTGTTTTGGCTTTTCGTCCGGCTAGAACTGTTTGTTGCAGGGAGTCAGACAGGTTCCCATGTGAAGAGGCTTACGCCTTCATGATTAGGGCACACTTGACAGCTGCACAAAGTTACCGGCGAAGTGTTAACACCGAGGCATTGAGCCTGATAAGGTTTTGGATACGTTGCCGTTTCCTTCATTGCTGTTTCCCATCGACAAACAACAACCTTGGCTCTGGAGATTGCATGCCTTCACGTTTGCGAGTCCAGCTCCGAATACCTTACACCAAATGATCTTCTCACGACTTTCGAATGTCCAGATGCTGAATGACAACCACATCTCTGATACTTCACAGTCAAACACTTGGTCGGTTCAGCCTCGCGACGTGGGCCGTGACGTGTGTTGTCTTCACAAGATTCACCCGGGCGGCCGATTTGTCTGATTCATTCACCTGTCGCCATCCAGGCGTGGCACGGTCCTTGATCTCTGTCTGCAACTGCTTGGCATGCCAAGCGCGGGCAAGATCACTTGGTGACGTCTTTCTGTTTGAGCATCTGAGCATCTGACAGTTGCGATCATTTTTGCGCTCGACTCCAGAACCTGAAGACTTGAGACTCGGGAGTAAAATGATATCTGGAGGGAAGCCGGAAATGTCCTTTTGCACGACGAGGACAAAGAAACCACCGACCAGAGGAAGCCAGAAAGTGTTTGTGGAATTGCGGAAAGCCTCGCGCTGGAGACAAGACAGCATCGACAGGCGGCGGCCTGTGACGGGCATTTTGGCTAGCGCACTGCCACGATGGCTGGCCTTCAAAGGTGCGTGTAAGTCACCACAAAACTGCGGGGTCCTCTATAAGGTCGGTCCCGCAGCCCACACTGCCCGCACCCCGTCAAAACTTCGAGACTCGGTTCTACATCGCTTGTGATTTCTGCCTGCGCAATTCTTGCTCTCTGGCCAACCCCACAGTCCGCATTGACCGCGCGCTCTACTCCGTATTCATTTGAAGATCGCGCTAGCATTGTCTGTTCGTATATAACAATCTGTAGTCGTTAACACCGCGCCGGAAGACCGAGGACCTCGCAGCCCCCGGCTGCCTTTGACTGGTACACCCTACGCTTCAACGTGTCGCGACTCCTCTACCACACTCGCGCAACCCGTGAACAGCTTCTCCTCGACGGCGCTAGTGACATCTCTCTCGCCCTACCGGTATTACCCCCCTCATCGCTCCGTTCGCGAAGCACCTCCCCGTCGCTGCCCTCCCAGTCCTACCGCGGTTCAAGGAGCTCCGGCCAGCCCCGCCGAACGGCGTCAACTTCACCTGACCCAGAATCTATTTCAACCACCTCTTCTCCGTCGCGCGGACCCCTTTTTTCCAGGATCATGGGATTCCGAAACAGCATGGCCAGGCGTTTCGGGGATACTGTGAGCAGAACTTCCCCTTCTTTATCAACATTTTCTCCCCCCAGTTCCCGGGTCACGGGGATGGCCAGTACAAAATCCAAGGCCCAAAAATTCCATCTCCGTCTCACAACCAACCCCCGCACCAAGAGCAGACAGGGCAGACAACCCGGGAAAGTCGAGCCCAGGATCAAGAAGCCCGACATGTCTTCTCTTCGCACTGCTACGACCAAGGGCCGAAGCAGTGCGCGTGCGAGCAGTCCAGCTACTATCTCTCGATACTCTACCAGGACCTCACGGAGACTGACCAATGCACAGCTGGGATCGGGCTCAACCCAGTATCTATCATGTAAGTGCTTCTATCTTGCTCCCATCGTGGTGTGTTCTCCTGCTAACAATCCATCCCAACCAGACTATGACATCTGCCGTACGTTTTCCAAACTTTGCGACTTTTCGATCTCTTATGGCAAGCAAACCAGATCTAACTGAGGCTCTAGTGACGACTGAGGATGTTAGGTCCCTCCGAAACGACTGGCTGACAGATAATGTATGTATCTGCTGGCGCTGTTGGTGCTGGACCAAGCTAACATGATCGTAGAACATTGCCTTCTGGGAAGAGTACGTCTATAGGGTGAAGAGGGTTCTGTTGAAGCTCCCAACAGTCACCAAGCTTCCCCCCTCCCTCCAAAACACCGCGTCTCTAACATGTGGTTTAGATGGCTCGAACGGGAGGTCCTCATCAAGTACCCCGAGGCGAAGATCGTCCTGCTTCGTCCCAGCATGACGTTCCTGATGATGCAATCAAGCGACGTCAGGAGTATAGCAAGCGCCCTGCCAAACTTCGACAAGATCACACATATCTTTCTTCCAGTCAACGACGCACGCGACAGCACCAGATCCGACCTTGGCTCTCACTGGTCGTTGCTCCTGGTGTCCAAAATCGATGGCGTTGCGTTTCACTACGACTCGCTGGGTGGCGCGAACTATTACGAAGCCCAAAAGTGCACCGATCGGCTAAGTAAGGTGTTGGGCCAGGCTCTACGATTTTACCAGATGAACGACTGCCCACAGCAGGAGAATAGCAGCGACTGCGGCGTCTACGTCTGTATTCTTATGAGGCATCTCCTGATCAAGAAGTTGCTCAACGCCAACGCTACTGAGAAGGTGTCAATGTCGATGGCCGGCAAAGCGGTCGACAGCCGCAGCGGTCGAAAAGAGATGATGAACATTATCGAAAGTCTGCGAAAAGAAGGCGAGAGAAGACGCAGTGCATCACCATTTCCATCCTCATCAACCCCGCCACGCATCGACTGATGGGTTGCCACCAAGCGTTCGATTGACGATTACAATCTGGCTCCAAACGGACCAAAGAGAACAGAGGTTGAGATGAGGCGTTTATCGGATGCTATCACTAGACATCTTGAAGTTGAGCCCTGTGGTTCCTTCTTGTAACTGTATTCAGCACAGCAGTCGGGTTTTGCCGCATGATTTGGGTCATTCACAGCATTTCCAGCGTTGGCAGCTCCATTCGAGCTGAAGATCAGCAGCAGTATTTTGGTATGAGAGTTGAGCCCTATCGCAACTGTTGGTTCTTGATACGAAGTCATCATATTCGAGGGCGGAATTCATGGAGGCAATGATTGCTGTTGAGGTGGAGGTATTTTACCCGAGATGGCTTTCTGAGAGTAGTTGTTCCGGCTTTACATTGAAAGCATCACGACGATGGATCTGCAGTCCTGTGCCTCTACCTTCGCAGAGGCGCTGGCTATCTACGAGGGAGAGCAGGTGTTTAGGAGTTAGGCAGGCAGGACACGAGTACCCCTTTGTTTTTAAAGCGCGAGGGCAGGCTTTGAGTAATTGGAGATGAAAAATGGGAAGAAAGAGGGGTGCGTTTTGGGTAACATCATCTGGTTTATCTCGTTAATTGGAGAGGATGGAGGGGGGTTATGTCGCATTACGATACCCACATCACACAAAGCCAACATCTGCATCATCACTGTGCATGGTTATGTTTACAATTCTTCTAGACAGCACAACAGAAGTTCGCTTTGGGCAATCTAGTGGACGGCTATTGTATACTCATATTGTCTCAACATTTGTCATTCCTGTCGTTATTACAGCAGTTTGAAGGGTATATACATAGATAAGAAAAACACACATGACGTGTAGCCATTATTTGCCAAGAAAAGCAGGGTTCTGCTCCATAGTAGAAGAGATGAACCCCCTCAACGCCGCCCACCGATTCGAAGTCGCTGCCTCTTGCGCCGTTATCGCGGTCCCCTCTGTCTCCATCTTTGACTGCTCTTCCGCCTGTTTCTTGGCCGTGTTCTGGTTTATCGTCGCCGTGCTACTCGCGCTCGTCACGGTAGCCAACTGCGCTAGGTTATGCCCAAACCGGGACATCTCCCCCTTGACGACCCTCTCCTTCCTCTTTAACGCCCCCGGCCTAGACTTTATACTTTTGTGTCTGACTTTCCCCTGCAGGGCCTGCTCGTTGTCCATTGCACCTTCATCCTCCATCTCATGTTCAAGGTCGTCAAGGACATCCCCGAGCGAGTCGAGAGTTGTCTTTAGCTGGGTCTTGGCTTTTTTGGCCTGGCGCTTCTTGTGGTTCTTGAGTGCTGTGGTGGAGGAGGGCTTGGTGATTTTGGAGACGAAGGAGGAGTGCTTGATTAGGCGCTTGTCGCGCTTGGAATTGATGAAGGAGTCGGTTACCTGGTTGTCTTCGCGGTGGGTTTTGCGGGGGATGGTTGGGTCGGCGAGGCGGGCGAGGGCTTTTTGGCGGGCGGTGGGGCGCTTTCCTGGGACTGTGGGAGCCTGGGAGAGAATGTTAGGTTGGAGATGAGAAGGTATTGGTGGATTTGAGTTAAATACCATGGTTGTTTGGTGTGAGAGGTGGCCGACAAAAGTGTGCGAGAGGTGGCTTATCGCAATGCGTGACAAGTCGCAGTCGCAAAGCGACAGGGAGAGCATGGCAGTTTGGACTTTTTAGTGGGGCATGGGAGTTCACCGCCTTTGGTGGGTAGGGGTCGGCTTTTGACGAGCGCCAAGGCTGATCCTTCTTTTGGCGGGGGAGGGGCAAAGCTCAGCCCTATGGATTTTCGTCTGCTGGGGTGAAGTGGATTGGATTTCTGAAAGTCGATCATATTGGTGATAGCGAATTTGTTCGTTAGTCTGTATGTTTCTAAGCGAGGGTTTCTATTGTATTAGAGTTCCTTGTCCCTGTGTAGGCAGAACAAGCATTTGAACACACAAACAGCAGGAGCTATCTGCTGGTGTATTTCGAGCTTCAGACCAAGAACCCGGCGTGTTCACAAACCGACATTATGCAGCACAATTCGAATGATGAACACCATTCAAATAGCGCAGCAACGAATGGGGAGCAGAACGGCTCCAGTCTACAGCTTACAGATGAGGAGTTTGATAGATACTCTCGTCAAATGATCGTCCCTGGAATGGGCAAAGATGGTATGACTATGTTCTAAGGTGGTACCCTGCCGTGGGCCGAGACTAACACGCAACAGCTCAACTTCGACTTATAAATTCCAAGGTCCTCATTATCGGCGCCGGTGGTCTCGGCTGTCCAGCAGCCCAATATATCGCAGGTGCTGGGATAGGAACCATCGGCATCATTGACGGCGATGTCGTCGAACCATCAAACCTCCATCGCCAAGTTGGTCATGCCACTTCTCGCATAGGCATGAAGAAAGTTGACAGTCTCATCACCCATCTAAGAGACCTCAACCCACTGCCGACCTATGTTCCTTACACCTATCCCATCTCCCACGAAAATGCAGCAGACATCATCACCCTCTACGACCTAGTCCTAGACTGCACCGACAACCCAGCAACCCGCTACCTCATCTCCGATGTCTGCGTTCTCCTCTGCAAACCTCTAGTATCAGCCGCCTCTGTTCAAAAGTCCGGTCAACTGATCGTCCTAAACTGCCCACCCACACCCCAGGGAAAGATGGACAGGAAATACCCTCCTTGCTACCGTTGCTGCTTCCGCAAACCACCACCAGCCAACACCCAGCTATCATGCGGAGAAGCAGGCATCATGGGCCCAGTAGTCGGTCTAATGGGTGTAGCCCAAGCAGGAGAAGCGATCAAGATTCTTGCCTCAGCTCTACACCTCCCCCAATCCAGTTCAGACACCACCACCGAAGACGACCCCCACAACCTAATCCAACCCACCCTCCTAATCTACTCCTACGACCTCAACGCCGCCCCAGGCCCCTACACCTTCCGCGCCCTGAAAATGGCCTCCCGCAAAAAGAACTGCTTCGCCTGCGGCGAGAACTCACCCCAGACTTTGACACTAGAGGGCATCAAATCCGGCAATCCGAATTACATCCAGTTCTGCGGGCTCCAAACACGCAAAGCCACCCTCCCTGCGCAGGATAGAATCACCGCATCTGCCTACCACGCAGCGAGAGAAAGTGGGCAATTGCAGAACCACATCCTTCTCGACACCAGGGAGAAGGAACATTTCTCCTTTGGAAGTATCGACGGTGCGGTGAACGTGCCCTTTGGGAAGCTACTCATGAAAGCGGCGACCATCAAGAGGGATGGTGGTGATGCTCAAGAGATCTTACCCCTGAAATCGGCAGAGGATCCCATATTTGTTGTATGTCGTCGAGGGCTGGACTCCCAAGAGGCAGTCGAGAAGCTCAAGGAGCTCGGAGTGGACCACGGGGGCAAGAGAAAGATTGTCGATATCATAGGAGGAATGAGGGCTTGGAAGGACGAGGTCGATCCATCCTTTCCGTTCATATAGTGATAACATCGCAGGAACGGCCAAATCTTGAATAAACTCGACTCATTTCGAATTGCTATGAATAAGAGGAGTCTGCTGTGTAACCGCTCTGGCAATGGTCCTTTTTTTCCACCTATGGTACACCTGACAAAATGCCATCCCTGAACACCGCTAAACAATGAGAATGAGAGCAGAGGCAGACCGATGACTGAGTCCATAATTGTTCGCTCTCATGAAAGTAAGAATTCCTCCTGTTGTGAACTTGATACACACTATACTTTGCCACATGCCATACCGTCTTACTCATGTTTCCTTTATACGCCAATCTTCTTCTTGTTGAACGCTCTCTGATCTCTCAACCACTGCCTGTAACCGGCAACACTGGAGATCTTCTCACCATAGAAATCGGGGACTGTTCCAATCTCATGTTAGCACCTGTCATCATCGCCAACTCAAAACATCATGAGATCACCATACCAGGATTCCTCGCCGAACTCGCGGTAGGATCAACCCGATTCTTCTTGATCCTCGCAAAGAACTGGCTCTCCTTCAGCGCCATCGGCGCCTTCCACTTGCTGTTCATCGCATTAAATACCACCGTTCCAACACTCGGCCCCACCAACCAACCCAGTGCGGCGAAACCCATAGTCATCAACCCCATCGTCATGAGCGGATCAAGCGGGATATTGCCCACAAGACTATCCGCCGCGCCGGATCCCAGCGCCATCGACCCCGCGAGACCAAACCCCAGCATGCCCAGCACACTAAAGCCTTGCTGCCATCTCCTCCTCGACTTGCGAAGCTTGAAGAAAGTCTCCCAGTTGAGAGCGGGCGTCTCGGGATGAGCAGCAATTTGAGCCTTGGAGGCCTTTGCCGCGGCGGCTGCGTCGACTTCGGCGTCGGTGCTGAGGCGGGAAGGGGTGGTGGAGAGGGTGCGGCGGGTAGTTGGTGAAGTACGGAACTTGGCGAGGGGTTGTTGTGACATGGAGGAGAAGGGCGAGGTCATGTTGAGGCCGGCGGAGTAAGGGCAGGCGGTGGTGGTGCGGAGGAGCATGGGCTGGAGACCGCTGGCAGAGCGGCCTGCGCCTGCGCGAAGCATGCTCGTTGCTGATGTGACGAGCATCTTGGAGATAAGATGTAAGTGACGTTGTTGTAATCTACTGGGTGGCTCGTGTTGTGGCCGCTCAAAGAGTGATATGTGTTGATTCTGAACAGGCAATTGTTCGAGTAGAAAGTGGCAGAACCTGGAAAGATTGAGTGGAGAGTGGCCTCAACAGGCACGGTGACGCTGTGCGGTTCAAGATACTGTCATGGAAGGCTACTGAACAAGAGCTCTTGTGGAGAACTGGAGCTAGGTTTTTGCGAGCCTCAGGCGCTAATTCCAGTCTTGGCAAGGAATGGTGATAAGCGATAACAGTGGAGGGGCGGGCTGGTGCTTGTAAGTCTACAGCCCTTTCCTTGCATTGCTTCCTGTAGTTGCTCAACTCTAGTCGTTCTGCTGGTTTATAGAAGGAGCGACTTATAAGTAACTAAGTTATGGCAATTGCGTGCATATCTTATTGTGGCTGTTGACACTCCCATATTGAGGAGCCAGAACGTTCTAGCGGCAAGGATCTACCTACCTACCACCCACCAAGGTTCTCAGATCCCATGGAACTCCTCCAGCCCATCAGACAAAAGAGACAGACAGAAGCGCTGGAAAAGAAACAATAGGACTTTGACCTCACATATCAGGCTATACACCTAACATCGAGAATGGTCCTGTATTTGCTGGACCATTGACTCAGTCCATGGTTCCCAATGCAGTGTCTACTTTCCTCATCGGTCCGTAATTAATCCAGTTGTCGCGAGCTTGGGACAGCGCCTCGACAGCTCAGTAGCGATCAATGCCACGCCAACCTTACCAGGTACCCTGAATTGGGCAACTCCCACCATATGCCAGTCAGGCGCAACAGGTCCCCTCCTTAAAGTCCAGTTCAGGTCACCAACTCTCTACATTTTCGAACCCTCATTCGACAAACTCCGGCTCAGACTGCATGTCCCAGCAATTCTAGGCGCAGTTTCGCGATCTCTCGTACGCGTCGCAAAGTCGCGACTTTACGCCCCACCACCTTTCCTCAAGGTCTCGACCTACCCGCCTATGTCCTCTACTTCCAGCTTTCCCTCCTCCAGATCAAAGAGATAATCATGGAGGAAGACGAATCTCCCACCCGTCGCAAAGCGGCGATCGAGATCCCTCTCCGGTCAGAGCGAAAGTATGTCCCCGGCTCAGGGCCCGCCCTCCCTCAGATCTCGCTCCTTCCAGTTCACGACTCGACCGGTTACATAATCGACCAGTTTGTCCTTCCCACGGATCAGGACATGAAGCCAGATTCTCGCCGTCTACTTCACTATCACATTGGCTTCACCGACCTGCCTGCGGCGAAGCTACTTGTGCCTTGCCACAAGGTGCTCGACTACATCTCCCCGCGGGAGCTCGAGGAGTGGGAGTCCCGCAATTTCGAGAGACTCGACGCACAGAGAAAGACAGCAGAGTTGGCTCTGAAAGAGAAAAAAATGGCAAAGAAGAAGGCCGCCGAGGCCGCCGCCATTGCTGAAGGCAAACGACCAGTCGGCAGACCCCCCAAAACCAAACCCCGCGACTCTCGCTCGCCCGCTTCGACCACCCAAGCGAGCGAAGCCCTCACCATGGTAGAGCAGGTAGCTGGACCGTCTCTTTCAACACCGAAGAAGAGAAAACTGAGCATGCCATTGGAGAGGGAGGACACGGTTAGTGACGTGGAGTCCGACGAAGCCGCCATCCAAAGACAACTGCATCCAGATTTTGTGAATGATCAAGAGTGGCAGCTCCGCGACGCGGAAGAGGGTCAATGGGCCGGAAAGTTTGAAGCAGAGCCAATCGGTCAGTCTGGTCTACCTTCCTTCGAAACATCGGGTGCCGAGACATCGCAAGCCAGCAGTTTGGCACCATCCCGGCGAGGTGTGCTACCTCCTCTCTCACAGCCATTGCCACCTGGACGGAAAGAGACGCCCATCCCCCCACCAAATCTCAATCAGCATTCCCTCCCATCGAAGGCCAAAACAGGCGTCACGGCGATTCCTAGACCGAAACAAACGCCCATTCCTCCTCCTATTCCAGGACAGACATCAGGTCTTTCTACTAAACCTAAACACAAACCTGCGACTCCGGCACAGACGTGTCCAGCTATTCCTGGAAACATTCACCCGGCTTTCGCTGCGGCTTTTGGCGCACGCACCGAAGCAAAGGTTGGGTCTCGGAACGGTGCGGCAGATCCCAAGACACCCAAGTCAACTCCTGCTAAATCACATGGAACGCAGCAGTCGAGGACGTCTACTCCAGCTCGGCGAGCTGAGCCGCTCAGGATCGCCCAATGGACCCCCGTGGCCGTGAGCCGGGGTCGTTTCAGCCGAACTACCCCCGGCTCCTCCTCCGCCGCATCGGTATCCCAAGACCAAATCCAAGAGACTGGATCCCAGAAAAGCGAAAAGAAGGCGCCTAAACCCAGGAAGCGAAAGGCACCAACATCACAGGAAGAGGTCTACGATGTTAAGGAGCTCCTAGACGACCGGTGGATCACCGAGAAAGGAAAGAAGACACACAAATACCTCGTGCTCTGGGCGGGTCAGTGGCCGGAAGGCCAGAATCCCACTTGGGAGCCGGCGGACAACATTGAGGATAAGGAGCTCATCCGCCAGTATCACGAGAAGAAAGCCTTGGGCAGAGTGAGGCCGCCTCCTAAGAAGATGCAAAAGACTTTGCGTTCTTATATCCTGACGGGGAAGCAGTACAGCTCCGTTGCTGAAGCCTTTGAGGACGGTCTCGACGTGGTAGAGCCCAGCAATCATCAAGGGAACGATGAGGAGGAGGATGTGGACATGGACAAGGAGGAGTTCCTCAAGGTGGTGGATAATCTCCATCCGCAGTATGCGAAGAGCTTGAGCTTTCATGTCAAGAAGGAGAAGGAGGGAGGGGGTGCGAGTGGCAAGGTGGTCGACGCATCGTTCTCGGCGTTTGATGCCAGTCTTGCTCGGTATCAACAGAGCTTTAAGGGTGCGCCTCGTGGAGCTTTTTAGATGGGCCGACTGCATTCATACGGGCAGAGTTATTCGGTCTTTGGCCTTGGTAATACCTTGGTGGAGGTTTTGGTCCGAGAGGTTTACCTGATTGGCAGGGTACGCTATGGCGGATGGTTCCGTTTGCGACAAGGCGGTTCCCTCGCGATGACAAGTTGGGTTCCCTCACGACGACAAGCCGGGTTTCCTTACGACAAGCTGCTGCCCTTACATACCCCAACATTAAATATTCAGCGGCGTTGGCAAACGAACTGCGCTCATCCCCCAGAGCTTCATGTACCATAGTATAGCAATAGTTATGTTGCTTTGATGACGGAGACGAGCGGGAGGAAGGGACACGTCCATTATATACTCAGCTCTCTGGCATCCAGCGTATCATATATTACGGGAGAACCGGCATTACATTTGCATCTAGTTTTGGCCGGGCAGCCACGCTTTTTGAGGCAGTAAATACAATTTATATGCGCCCAACTACCGAACTATTGGGTATGTGAGGTGATTGACGGGGGGGGGGGGTGATATATTGTGATGACATTGGCTTTGTTTATCCCGAGAGTGAGAATAAGCCACGCCTTGTTTGTCCAATCCGCGATGAACGAAGTATTTCTGCTGTCTCTTGGCTGAGAGGGCATTACGAGGCTGTTTCGGTGAGTTGGTTAGACCCCCTACGCCCGCCGCCCGGTGGAAAAATTTGGCATGTAAAACTCGCTGCTGACCACCCCCACGAAAGGGTGACTTGAGCTGGGATTTTCTTCGAGAAGGATCCCAGAGCGGTGGGTAGGATTTATGTGGCGTTGCCTAGGTTTTCTTCGGGCATACAGCGGTAGAGGAAGAAAACAAATATCTGGACTGGGTTGGGGGTTGTGCTTAGCGTTACACACCATGCAGAGGAGGGCATATCAGTGCTGGCACGACAATGGGGGTATTCAAATGGCCGTGTGGGATTGTATGAATCAGAGGTGGGCAGTATCCCCGTTTCTTACGAGCGAGCTGAGGATATGGCGGTGAGGCCTAAAGCTGAGAGTGTTTGCAAATCGGTCATGATAAGGCTGGGAATGGGATGTAATCAGAGATTGTGGTTGGATGAGACGAACTTGTATGAGTGAGCCAAGTTCCACTTGGATGGGAGAAAAAGAGCACTTTGAAACTTTGATCATCCCTCGCTAACAATCTGACCTGCATTGATCTTCAAGCCACGTTCACTCCGGTCGGGTCGGGCGTATGTATGCCGGTACCTATACATGGATGTACATTTACATGGGCGGATTGAAAGCGGCTGAGTGGGATGGAATATGCATACGCCATGATGATGCGGACCAGCGTGGGGGGTCGCTCATGCTGAAGCGATACAGGCTTTGTGCGTACCTTGGCCACAGGTGAAATTCGCACGTGAGGCAAGTACTTGAGCGACCTCGGAGACTCGAGAAGTGAAGATCAACCGCCATCATTTGGGAGAACCATGGCGTGGGATTTTGAGGTTGACCGACATAAAGGCGGGCGTTACCATGGTGTGATTCAGGATTGGGGGGTCACAGGTTTTTGTGTTGCCTGCTTTTACTCTTGTACTTGGGTCGGGAGAGGCTCTGCTTGAGGGGGTTGAAGTTGTGGAACATGGGTGAACTGGGACGAGGCAATCACGTTACTAGGCGTCAAGGTGGGTCAGCTGGTTTGAGGCGTACAAAGCCAGGAAGCCAGGAAGCCAGGTTGGAGGTGTTGTGGGCTGGTTTTAAAATCCGAGCCAGAAGGGAAGTTGTCAAAGAAAATAATTCATTCAGCAAAGCAAAGCCCTTGCTTGTGATCTACAGGTTGATTTGAACTCCTGATAACCCTATACAAAAATCCCCGAGTACCCTTCCTTTGTCTAGCAGACCCCAATAGCAAATCCTTTTGATAACCATTATCTCCCAAATCCCCTTCTTGCACTCCAGCCCTGGGCCCTAGTGAAAAGTCATTAAAATCTGTAAAATGCGTTGAGTTTCTCCTCCAAACTAAGCGATAGCCTCTGCAACAAGTCGCTGCTCAATCTCCAACACTCCAGCCATGCCTTGCTGAATCTCCTTGACCGCATCACCATCCTGCGCCAACGATTTGAATGGCAGCCGTGGCTCCACGCAAGCCAACTCTCCTTGACCGTGGAAGTATGGCATCGCAGCCTTAACACCAACGAACCCGTAGCGGATGGCAAGCCAGTCACCCCTGGCAACCTCATGTTGGAGATCTCTTGCCTCAGCCAGTTTCCCTTGCTCGAAAAGCTCCCCAATCCTCACACAGGCTCTGGGGGCAAGGTTGGCAAAGCCACTGATTGTTCCATGAGCACCAACGACCAAGCCTTGGAGAACAAAGTCGGCACTGCCACCAGCAACAAAAAAGTCGTGCTTGCCGTTGCGAACCTTTGGTGTATCAACAACGAGGCGGGCGAGCTTTCCAGTGTTTCCACACGTCAGCTTTACACCGACAACACGAGGGTGCGCGGCAATGCGGAGGATGGTGTCGGAATCAAGGTCGACTCCGTTGGCCGCGCCGGGAAAGTTGTAGACAAGCAGCGGGATGGGAGACTTGGACGCAACGCTGTGAAAGAAGTCGACAATGATGTCCTTGTTGAGAATCCCAGCGTAGTAGCCTGGTGGGAGAACGAGGGCATGTGTGGCCCCGGCTTCCTTCGACTCTTGACACAGCTCAACGGTTTCTCGGATGGACTGGGCGCAGCAGCCAGCAATGATGGGCATTTGAGCATGGTCTGATTCGTGTCTGACGGCGTCGGCCACCGCCTTGATCATAGACTTGCGTTCTTGACGGGACATGTGGACTGCCTCGCCGTTGGAGCCGTGGACCACCAGCCCACTTACACCGGCTGCGAGCAAGCGCGCCGTGTGTCGTTGCGTCGCGGGAATGTCAACCTCGTCGTCAGGCGTAAAGAAGGCCAGCATGGGTACGTAGACGCCATTGGGAAGTCTTCCTAGTTGGCTCTGCTCGTCGAAGGTGTCTGATGGAAGGTGGGTCGGCGTGACGGGCATGCCGAAGTTTGTTGAAGGCTCCATTGTTGATCTATGGGACAGAATATCAGGCCTGGGAATAGACTTGACTGATAGTATGAGTTGGCTTCGAGTGCCTGATGCAGGTTTTGGTGGTAAGAGTTTGAGAGGGTAGTGATATAGCAATAGTGTAACTGGCGAATGGGCACAAGAGATGGTGGTGGTGGAGGAAGGGAAAGGTTGAGTCTCGGGTACTTATACCACAACGCTTGATCAGGGTGGAGCAAAGGTGATCCAAGTTGAAGTCAGGTGGACAACCAGGAAAGGAATGACGGGGAAGATATACGGACCTGAAGGAACACAGCTTAAGCCGTAGGCATTGAGGCATCCCTGCCGGCCCGATCTTCTCGGAAGGCGAGCCCCCTGGCAAGACAAGGACATCTGAGGCTCTAGCAATGATGATAGACCCAGGGGTGCCTCTTGCCAAGAGTGTGGTCCTTGTCTAGCATCTTTGCCTCGCGTGGGGGCGCCAAAGAGTCGGGATGCCGAGCATGACTGATGCGGGCTTCACCACAGACAAGAAGCGGCTAGCCACGCGGAAGTGACACCGGAGCCGGATCATGGCTTGCGTGGCATGCACACCGAAGATGCCACGCCTACCGACTGGTCAGTTTTGCCCTACCCAGAAAAGCGTCCCAAGGCATCTGGAATTTCCTCCAGAACCAGTCATTGAGCAGACACAGCTGTAGGTGGTTGCGTTTCCCAGTATCAGCCGGGCAAAGACAGCGGTGAGATACACCGCATACATGGGTGTCGGGTAACCTGGTCCCGATCTGGGCAATAGCTGGAACGAATATGATCTCGTGATGGCACCTCTGGTCAAACTAAACACCATGCTGTGGCCATGATCCCATCAGGTAATGCACCCGTCACCTTTCCCATTCTATGTGTCAGTAGGCTGTTTGTATCGCCTAACGACAAACTACCCGTTGGCTGGAAGGGTAGCACGGCAAATCCAGTTTGGGGACACAAAGTTCGGGAAAAATGCTCGTCTCCAAAACCACGGGAGTGCAAGTCGACGGACCCAAAGCCCCAAAGATGTGCAGTGTTACAGTGGGGTGACCCCCAACATTCGGGCAACGAGCTTGGCGCCCCCGATGTCAAAGACCATTGGCGGCATGGCTCTGTCAGGGGCAAATCCCCAAAATTCCAAGTCGTGACCATTCTCATCAACGCCACCCCTCCCTCCCTCACAAGGAGGACGGCATCGGGGCTTCCAACTGATCAATGGAAACCACCCGGTTTTCGCTCGGTCAGAAGCCAACAATCTCACTCGGTTTCGTCATCCAGGCATGTTTTTTTTTTTATTACTTTCCTAGCTGCCGTTTTCCCCCGCTTTGTCATCCAACACCTCACGCCCATCGCACATCATGAAGCCACACCGCTTCCCCATGTCTGATGAAGATGATGGAGAAGCAAGGGCATTTCGGGCTGTTCTCGCCCGAGCCTCCTTGCTTCTTTTCTCCTGAACCAAAGCCAGGAATATCTCCCAATCCACCCCCACACGCTTTAACCTCAAAATCATTGATCGATCGCCTTCGCGTCTTCCAACAAGTTGTCGTGTTCTTGTCGCTCTTTTTCCAGATCCTCTGTCCATCGTTCCTTTGTCCTCCTCCTGCTCCTTTCCCCTTAAAACCCCAATTAATTGGCAGCCAGGTTCCCTTGCCTGCTTGCATCGAGCAAGTCTCACGTGAGGCCCGCGCCTTGTCCCCCCCGTATATCCCATTCGCGTGGGGGTTCCCCAGATTTGCTATTGGTTCCCCAAGAACGATGCTGGCCGGGGTGCTGAGCTCCAACTGAAAGTGGCTCCGGGCACGGCTCCAGACGTTCGGGAATTTCCAACACGTTTCTCGCGTTCCCATTGGCTCTTGTCCTGGCCTTGTGATGTTTGTTTTCAATGGATCGTCTTATCGCGCGAGATTGCCAAATTGACCTCGTGACGATGGGTTCAATCTTGTCCCAGCGGCACGAGGCGGATGATCTTCAAGTCCACGAAATGTTTTCTAGTGCTGAATATACTCATATCTTGTGCAATCTGCGTGTCAAATCTCAACCGAAACTGTGAGTGTGGTCTATCACGGTTTTCAGCCCGTCAGGGTACCTCGGTGAAGCACGGAGAGCATCATAATCTTAAAACACGCGACATACACAAGATGCCCGAATTCAATGCCACAAATAACCATCGCCGGAATCTCCGGGTAGCTCTATAGAAATGACGTGCCGTTAGATCATGGGGCTGAAGATGTACAGTGTGAGGTCGATTTATCATTGGCCATGATGCCCATCTCCCGGTGTCGTCAATGAACAGCACGTGAAACATTCACCATTCTGTGGCTGTCTGTGTCTCCTCCAACTTGACCACAGGAACAAGATATGACCCCTGCGAATGTCAACGGTCATCAGGCATCCAACACGGTATCAATCACTTGGTGCGCAAACTCTGCGGCATGATATTATCGGGGCCTTAGTATCACAAGAAACAGTAACGGCACTGCGAGCACGATCAAATGACAATATGGAGAATGTTAGACATTTCCGTGACAAGAGCAGATCCATATATACATGTATTGATCCTCCAGTTCCCTAGTCGAGATAATAGCTGACATGGACGAGATATTGAAACCAAATCAGAATCATGACCACCCTTCCCAACCATCCCTCGAACGACTCTTTGTCGACGGCGGCGTTGACAGCCCTTTTCCTTCTCCATGAGCTCGTTTCAATGATCAACAGAGCTGCACAGCCATTTGCATCCTTGACTCTGGTTGTCTGGACTAGGGTCAGCAATCGAACCATAGGTAACTTGCTGGGGAATGAGAAAACTTACCGGCACCATCATATCACCGTGTTTCATCTCCACCTCAAGAATATCTTTGTGATTATTCTTCCCACCGCTTCTGGTGAAACCATTGGTCTCGAAACCCTTGTTTCGCTTAGGGCGAAATCTCATCGTGCACTGTGACCCAAGTGATGGAGCGGCGACGACAGGCCCAGGTTATACTGTACAATGATCAATTAGTATTCCATGATGAGGCGCAAGGTATAGTGACATACATTGATCTTATCGTGCTCCATGTAGCCCGAGGGCAAATACCTTGAGATGACCGTTTCGTGGAGGTCGAAACCGAAGCCGGCAAGACGTCTGCATGCATGATGGCATTGAGGGCAGACAAATCCCCCGCGAAGACCCAACTCTGTTCCATGATGCTGAGAGTTGACGGTGGGCAACTCTGGCATCAGTGAGGGAATGAACCCGGTGAAGGGTCGACGAGAGAGTTCAAGTTGACCGCTGCCTCTTGGAGGGGTGTCGAAAAACCCAACCGACTTTGTAATGGGCGCCCGCCCCCCCAGAATGATGCCGGAGAAGAGCCTTCCCCCCAGGATAAAGTTGGAAGACAGCCCAACCCCATCACGTTTGAGGTTGAGTGCCCCGAGGGGACGGCATGTTTGAGTTTGAGTGCGCGGGGGGCGGGCACGAATTTGAGGTCGAAGACCCTTATGTTGAGGAGCGTCCGAGGCACCTCCCGCGGAGGGCGTAGATGTCTTGGATGTTTGTGTTTGGAAGAAGATGAGAAGAAGAGAAGAAGAGAAGAGAGAGAAGATATAAGAGGGGAGTTTTCTTGCCCCACAGAAAGGTAGGCAGAGTTTTCTCTGTTGCCCCGTGTCATAGGATCGGAGCCTAGACCCGCTCAGCTGCCCCTCGCACCAGAAACGGGGAAGGAGGACGACAACATTCCCCCACCCAGCCGCTCTCTTGTTCCCTGATTCCTGCCTTTCCAGGCTCTAAGAGCCCCGGTCACAAAGGTCACAATGCTGAATGATGGATTCCGTGGGATACCGGCATGTTCCAACTGCTACTAGCTATTACTTACTTGATTTCCAGGTTGTTTGGTGGCCCATCACACATGATCGATTCTGTTCATACCAAACTAGGTAGCATTGGGAAGCATAACAATAGGAGGCTTGCTTGCCTGACATTCAGATTGTTCAAGAGGGTAAGCGGTAGAAATGTTGGGTCAATGAGGACAGGCCAAGTATCTAGGTACCCAGGCTGGGTAGGAGCTGGGATGTAGGTGCTGAGCATCGATGGAAAGCGGAATCACACTGGGGTAGGCTATTCTTTCCACCTGGACATTGTCACATGGGTGCCTTCACCTGCAGGCGAACTGGAGCAGCACATCAGACAACAAAGATGACGTTGGTTGTTGAACTGTGGTATCACGTTGAATGTGGTTGAGAAAGTGAGGGATGGAGCCGCTGAGATAACACCTGCGAATTTGATTCAGAGGATATGCCTGTTTAAGGTAGGTAGCCAGAAACATGTCCACAAATTCAAGATATACAAGTGAAATCGAAATGCTTGGACTAGATATATGGCACAGTCTATTATTCATGTTTCATTGCTTGGGGTCGGAACAGCTGGTGAAGTGTAGCGTGGTGGCATGAACACCAGGTATCCAGTCTTTACTGAATCAAAGGAAGACTTTCATCGCCAAGAATCAACGCAGCCAATATTACCTCACCTTGAAACAGTCAATATCAGAAACTGGGAATCTAAGGTTTTTTGAATTATTCCACTGAAGTTCCTTGTTCTTTCCGGTTCAGAGATCTGAACCGGAATAAGCGGGTTTTTGGGTAGGTTGGAGTAACAGAAGTAAAAGGAAAGAACAATAGCAATGAAGGAAAAAACAGGACTGGAAGGAGCAGAAGCCACCTCAGCATAGGCTCCAAGATGATCACCACCAAGCAGCTTTAATTTGGCCCTTGTTTCTCCCTACAAAGACAAAACAACAAAGTGCTTCATTCTATCAGCAGCACCAAGAACAAGCAAAAATGAAGATCATCATCGTCAACTCGACTGGCCTGGTGGGAGACGCCATTGCTTTCCAGTGCCTAGCAAGCAGAGACATCCAAGATGTCTACATACTGTCCCCGGCAGCGATGCCACATGAGTATTCTGCCAAGGCCCGGCACCTGGCCCACCAGGACTTCATGTCGTACGAGCCGGAGCTGATCGAGAAGCTCGCGGGCGCTCAAGCCTGCATCTGGTATGGCCTGCCTCCTGGAAACCTTCTCGAACCCAGCGCTGACTTCTTGAAATAGGGCGTTGCCGCCGCAACCCTGTGTTGACGAGCGTCCGAGGCCCTCCGAGAGGCGTCGATCTATCAGCGACGCCTGGTTCAACTGGGACTCTCTTGCCGGTGAGGTCGAAGCCCTCACTGTTTCGGATGACCGTTTCGTGGAGGTTGAAACCGAGGCCGGCAAGAGAGTTCAAGTTGACCGCTGCCTCGGAGGTGTCAAGGCGTTCCTCGACCAGGTGATCCGACACCTGCCCCCGGCGAGCGAGCGGCCGTTCCGGTTTGCCTTGGTGAACTGGGCGGCCAACAGCTGGGACGAGGAAGAGACCGAAGAGGCCATGGAGCTGTTGTCCGAGCGGCTTGTGGTACGTTATGTTTTGTTTTGTTCTTTCAAGAGATTTTTCTGTTTGTTACCGGGGGTCTAGTCAGTCTATGGCTTCATGCCTAGGTACAGTATGATTCTGTTGAGACATTCGGTTGGTAAGGTAGGGAGAGTTTGGATAGAAATTGGCTGGTTGGTTTACAGGGATTGATTTCTTGCTTCAAGTTCAAGGTTGGCAGCCAGACTCATTGTTTCATCAATAAAGGGGTTTTCCTCCAGTTTTGCCTTTTTGTGTATATACTGTTTTCAAATGCTGGATTGTTTGTGCACCCGTTTCTTGCGTTCTTGTTACATTTATCGATAACTGATGGTGAATGCTTACTGACTCTTGGTTATAGAACGCCAACATCAAAATTTCTGTTTTCCGGCCCGGCATGTTCGTTCCTGCACGCCCAGAGGCGAATGTCAACCCGCCTGTGGGCGAAGCCATCTTCGCCAGCCAGCTCGCGGATGCGGTGATCGAGGATATCCTCGACACCAAGAGATAAGGTAGGCACTGTCCCATTCAGCCGCGGCGATCAACAGGGGTTCTCGGGAACGCAACCGAGGCATCTCGTCGATCACTTGTCGCTTTGAGCTCACCGGGTACACAGAGTCACTAACTTCTCCTATTGATAATGATAGCACAAGTATGGCCGAGACATTGAAGCGGCTGTTTATCCTTGGTATCTGTGGAGAGAGACTGGGGGCTGACTGGCTGCATGATGTGCCGCAGCTGATGGCTGACCGGGCAGAAAGGTCCGATGCCCGAATCTTTAGAACGGATTGCTGCAGTGAGGTATTCTTCGCAGATCAACTTCGTTCAGTGTCGAAGTGTGCTTCCCTCCTTCGCCTTCACCCCGACCACCACTCACACCTGGCATTCAGCCGTTAGCTTCGGGAATCATTTACAACATCGCCGAGCGACTCCACAATGGCTGAACTCGATCACTGGGCTCAAGCTGCGGTTGTTTGTGATCCGGGGAAATTGAAGATCAACCCGGTTGACTTAATCCGAGCAGCCCTAGTTACTGCGACCTTGGGAAATCGTTAGTGTACCTACCTACCTTGATTGAAGATAAAAGTCATTTACAAGCATATATCTGCTAATGGGACCACGGAAGCTCCCGGTATGGAACCCCTTCCAAGCATCTCCTATACATACCTACCTCAAGGTACCTACCTACATACCAAACACGATGGACAACCTTTTTGAAACCGGACTCATTACCAAGGTAGCAAACGTGCGGCTTTCGATCCTCAGACTTGAATTGTGCTCCACTGTAGCATTCCCGGGATCGGGGATTTGGGTCGGCTCTCTGTGGTTTCAGGTTTGAGATTACACTATTCTGAATCGGAGCTGAATTCCCAGATCTTCGGGTTTAGGGTGGCAGACATGCTTCCAGTGTTCGAGCGGCCAATGGTTGAGGCCGACCAAGACAAACACACCGTCTCATCTCCAGGCACGTCTTAAATACGACATGTACATAAGCAGCAAGTGAAAGAAGCTACTGTGACTATCGCGCCAATTGCTGCGACAAGATGGGATCGGACCCAGGCTGTTGGGCCACCAATGAACGAAAGGGATCTGCAAACCCCGATATTCTTCGGAACCATCATTTTACCAACATGTCAGCTCTGGCAAGGTGCGTCGCTGCCGGGGACTAACCGAACCCATCGACATCTCGGGCCGACAGGCCGTATCACAGCCCTCCTGTTGGCTCAATTGCAGCTGGGCATCGGCAGAAGCGAGCTGAATACAGAAAAAAGAAGCGCGTTGCCTCCATCCAAGACTCGAGGGTCATCATCTTTTGTCAGATTATCGGTCCCAAGCTCGCATTTTGTGCCTTCTGCTCTGAGAGTCTGGGACAACGCACACAGACGCCATGGCATGCTGGGGGGTTTCTCTACCTTCCCTGTTGAGCACCCTAGACCTCCTTAGCTCCTCACTGTTGGCCCAAAATCCAATCGCAAGTGTTGGAAGGGTCTTCCGGCGGCAAGGCTAGCCAGTTGGTTATGGGGCTTCGTCCAAACTGTCGGGACCATGAGTGCTGCCCGGCGCCTGTCCGGTTTGGTCCATTCTTGCGCAGTCCCCTTCAGCCAAGCTCGACTTAGGAATCTTGTGAATACGCCAAGGACGGGCTGTCGAGCAATGGTCTCGCGGCACGGTTAGGGCTGCCGCCGGCAACTCATCCAGACACCCTCACTATTCCCTCGGCCAATAAATATGTCGTCTCTTTCGTCTTACCAACTGAGGTGGCTTGTCCTTTACTCAATTTTGCCCGCTACCCTATCCGCCGATCCCCAGGCCCAGTGGGCCACCTTTCACTCTATCACTCTCTCCCTGTCTCATGATCTCAGTTACCTCCACAAAGCATCCAAGAGACAGACGGGATCACAGCCAACGTGGGTTGCACAATCCAGGCACACACCACACACAGGTAGCGCTTGGACCCCCAACTTACATCGCCCTGCAGTGACATCTGGAGTGGTCTGGGTGACTGGGTCTGCAACAGAACCCCAGCCTGGGGTACCTCTGTCCCAGCGTCCCCTCGTACATCTCGGTACCTACGTGGGAATCTCACCTGGCCAGCACCAATTAATGTTCACCTGGAGAGCCGGCTGTCTGCTGCTGACATCCCATCCCGTGTGCATGTCTCGGAGACAGTGTTCCTGATAAGAGGCACCGCCGTCCCGTCTTTCCTTCTTCTGTTTCACACACACCTTTGACTTCAAGACTCGAGTGTTAAACATTCGCCGACCTGGCTGCTAGGTTGTGGACTGCATCTGTCGCTCTCTCCTGTGTTGACTGGTACACATCACAATCCGGTTAAACAACGACAGTTTTCTCCGCCATAAAGTCTGATCAGATCCCCTCCTACTTGTCTTTCACTTCGGACATGGCCAGTTCTATCATGCCCGCTCTCGAGATCACATCCCCTCTGGACGACGAGGCTCCCATCACCAGCCAGGTTTCCTGCCAGCACCACACTATGCAACCCCTCGAGTGGCACTACGTCCCCGCCGACAGCAACCAAGGCAACAGCTTGATCGTCGCCATATGGCCCACCGACACCTGCTATCAAGGCCTCCAAACCATGTCCCTACCCAACACAATGCCCACCACGAGTCGCCCCCACCGCAGTCGGCAACTCCAAGAGTCGCAGCTCATGACTACAGCCCTTATCCACGTCCCGCACTGCTATCTCAACGTCACCAGCCACACCCCCGCCTCCCACCACGCCCCCGGCCTCGTCGAGCGAATCGGCCTGCCACGGTCTCTGGTCCAAGGATTCCTCTCCACCATCGCCCTCCCCTCCTCCACAGCCGACGTCGTCGGTCTCAACCACCACCACCACCACGCTGCCGCCGACTTTGAGCTCGTGACAAGCGCCGTCCCCCACATTGACGACCAAGACGACTGGGTCTTTTCTCGCTGCCTGCTGGCCGACTTTACCGGCTTTGGCGAGGAGGCGGCGGCTACGTTGTCCCGCCAAGGACGGTTGTGCTGTTGGATCAGTGTTGTCTTGGATGGCAGCTCAGGGGTGTGGGACCTACACTTTGTGGTGCACAGGGTAGGGGTCTGCGCCCGGAACCCGAGCTTGAGCAGGACAGGGGCTTGTGTTAGGACGGTTCACTGATTAGGAAGACGTGGGGTTTGCGGTTCTTTCTTTTTTAGAAACAAGGTGTCTGTTTTGGATGTTGGTTGAGGTGGTCATGAGGACGGCCAATTGCGACATTGTCCCAGCTTGCGGCTGACACTGGCTAAGCTTGGGACCCTTTTCTTTCCTTTTTTGTTCAGTTTATGTTGGTTCTTCCAAGCAAAAGCGTTATACAATGGATATACATGGGCTGGGCGGGAGGACAAAAGCCTCAAGCATGAAACGGGCGGATGGAGTTTTACTGGCGTGACTTTCTTTTTCTTCTGTCCTTTTTACACTCAAAATTCACTATGGCGACAGGGCGATAATGGTCAGGATGGGCTGGGACGGAAAGATCTGGTGTTTGTTTTCTTGCTTTTCTTTTTCTTACGATTAGGTCAGGGGTTTTGTTAAATCTTCTGTATGTATCTGTCCTATCTTAACTGCCTGGCATGGCATGGTAACGAGGGTGTTGATCTGTCTCAACGAAGCACATTTCCCCCCCACTCAAAGAAAGGTCACTGTAAGATCAAAGCAAATCAACGTATCCGGTCTTTTATGTCGACAATTTTCTCTTTTTGGGGTTCCATGAATCGTTTTCTTTTGTCCCGGGTTGTGTGAGCAGGACATGATCTTGTTGGTATGCAAGCTGCCTACCTGCGTTCAGCATCCGAAGGTGGCCGGTATTTAAGGTACCTTGAGAGGTAGCTGGAGCCGGGATGCCCGTTTAGTAAAGTTAGGCTGGGGGAATTTACGACTACCAGTAGTGACAGGGAGCGGAATGAATGGATAGTTCTGCTGTTTACTACATTGGCGATAGCCTCGCCCCGGGGGACCCCAGCAAGGCAGAGAGATATTCCCATTTCATTTCCGGGAATGTCAGGTTGTTCAAGATTTCGTGACGCCCCAGGGGCGAGAAAAGACAAGAAAGGCTTCAGCTCCCCACAACTGGTGCTGGGTCCAACGGTGAGATGGACTTTGCTCCGTGCCCTGCTCGACACTGCATATATGTACACCAAGAGAATTTTCCTCGTCATACACACTAACTAATAAGCGGAGAGAAAGAATTTACCGCTAAGAAAAGGTCCTGCTTGCGGGGCGGGCTAATAAGAAGGTCTGGAACTATTTGCTCTTTTTTTGTTTTTTTTCCCTTGGTTTGATTTTAGGGGGAGATCAGTGGGTTTAGTGGTCGGAGGGTAAAATACATGGAGGTTTGCCGGGGGTAAATTTGATGAAGATGGTTAGTCCGGTGCGGAAGGATGGATTTTGTAAATCTAGGTCCCATGCCAGCATTGATGTGGCTTTTGGTTTTGAGGATCAAGGATGGAAGCGAAAGCGAGAGGTTGCATGATGCTGTGAAACGGTTGATGACATGGCAGGAGATAAACGAGCATGCTGAAAGTGGGATGTGGCAAAACGGGTAGCGTACCCTTTCTCTGGTTCGTTTTTGGACACCGCTCTTTTGAGGGAGTTTTCTGGTGGGAGGGGGTGGAGAGCATATGCTGTGTGACCTTTGGGCGTTCCATTTCGGCAGGGGGCTGATAGCGAGACCTGTTGTTGTTCATGATGATACCTATTCTTCATCTATGGGGTACACCCAAGATGAGTTGGTCAAGTGTATGGACAGGTCTAGACCTGCTGATCCGATACCTGCAGTTAATTAGCCCAGTAAAAGAGGCATCCTGTCTGCTGAACTTCAAAATTACTCTTTCTTGGGATAAGTTGAAAGCTATCGTTTTCGTCATTTACGGCAAAGATTCAACAAGATTGCATTCAACCAGCAACAACGACAACTCCCACGTCCCGAACGGGACTCCCCATAATTCATGTCCCGTCATGGGGGTTTATGATAGGGGAATGAAGCTCTGTTCTCTTTTCGGCATTAGCTCTGTTCTTCTTATCAGGCCCCGGTTTTACAAGGATGCGATGATTAATCATCAAGATCAACTGTCCATCAGACCACGGGCATAGGATCCCGAAGCTCTTCAATCCCGGATATGAGGATGAGAAGGCAACTGCAAAAGGAATAACCACTATGAATCGGTCTGATAAGCCAACATACATCGCTCTTCGGCACTCGGCAGTGAACTTTGGGACTGGAGGACCATACAAGATCCCCTGTCATTCTTCACCGACTGATCTGGATCACCACCACCACCCACCCTCCCATTCCGTTCTGAGAAAACCCACAACGGGTGACGGGCACAAGGGAGCTTATAATAAGCAAGTAAAGCTTCGAAACCGGTAGTTGGATGTCGATATGTCCTGAAATGGGCAAGGTGAAAGGGGGGGTATGTGGGATTAACGTTTCAAAAACTTGCCCAGGCATGAGATGCACGAGTTGGAACTTGGTCTCTGCTTGAATTGAGCTTTCCTCGGTAAAGGCAAAATGTGAGATATCAATTCTCGTCCTTGCTCTCCCAACGCTCGGCCCGGATTTGTAGGTGGAGAAAGAGAACTGTGCCGCCAGCTAGCCTCGTGGCCGATCCGACTGCCAGATGTGACGGGTGCGCTTGTACCCAGACAACGACAGGGGACAGGGGGGGGATAACGCCGTTCACGTCGACATGGAGAGGGAGAGGTACGGTACCCTTTCTCAGCCTATCGCTTTCAGCCAGGGGGTCTCGGCATCGGTCTGCTGAAGAGAAGACCGAGAATGCATAAAATCGAATCCAACTGATCGATGCGATTGCAACTGGGCGGCATTTGGTGTTGCGCAGGAAGTGTTGTTGGCATTCTGAATTAGGGACAGAAGGCATCAGGCTCCGAGTGTCAGAACGAACGAATCGGGCTCTAGCTTGTTGTTCAGGATACCAGGGTGAATTGGCGATGTGGCTAGCTGCCCCCAAGCCCATGTCCCCAGGCCTGGGGTGGCTCCGGGCACGATTCCACCAATACCACTCGAGATACAAACTGAGTGTTGAATCATTGCCGCCCGAGGGCTCCGAGTGTTCCTGAATAAGCTGAGCTGAAAGCGAGACAAAGTTATTTTCACGCTATTGTTTTCCTCGTGACGGAAGTAGCGGCAAAAGTGAGCTGTGAGCAGTACGATATTCAGGAACTTGGGTCTTGTTGGTGGTTGATGTTTCAGTCTATCTTCAATTTGGAATAGTGAGCTAACGTGTTCCAGAAAAGCAATTTGGAGGCGTAGTGGACGGGTTTCCGAGGTACTGGGCTGCTGTTAGGGCCTTTCGACATTTGTCTGCATACCTAGATGATTGCATAAGCACAGGACATAGAGACAGTGATTGTCAGTGGCAACAACATGCATGATTTGTGCTACGTAAATACCATACGTTCTGTTTGTATCTTGAGCCTCAACCCACCAAAATAAGAGTTGTATCGAAATGATTCCTGCCAAGTCCCACCTAACCATCAGTATGAGCTATTCAAACAAGCCCAAGCATCAGCTACTCCCTGTATGCTTCAACCTCATGTCATGTTCCGACCTCAAACGTTCCACCTCTTCTTTCAGTTTCTGATTACCATCCCCCATTGACTTGAGCACACGGCAGGTGTAGTGAAGCACCTCTGCCTTGCTCATTCTCCTCTGTTTCTTCTTCCCTTTGCCCCCTGTGTTCCTGTTTGCGGGCAATCCAAGACCAGTCCTTTCGTCCAGCAGGGCCCCAATGATGGCCATATGTTCGTCGTCGTCGTCATAGTCTCCATTCACACTTCCGCCAGCTGTTTTGCTGTGGCGGGCTATCACTCGTTCCTCTTCCGGCAAAGCACACAGTGCTTCGAGTAGCTCCTCGAAGCTTTTGTGCAGCCTGGTCCGGTACTCCTTCTCAACCTGATTATGATTTTCCCTGGCACGCTGATCTTCAGCCAACTCTCCTGGTCGTGGTGGAGCTTCGGGGGTGCGTCTAAACCGGCGGGTCGCAGTGCGCAAGCTGGGACCGTTTGACTTCGTTTGCTTGTGCGGTTGTATTGAACTTGAGCTGGCTGGAGAGACTGTCTTGGAGTCTTTGGATCGGGGAGTCGCCTTTGTTTTCGTTGAGGGTGAGGGTAGTTGTCCTTTACCCGAGGCTTTTGTTGTCTTCCGCAGGTTCAAACTCGCAGGTCTGCCATTATGCTGTCGGTGCTGTGTCGGTGCTGGTTCGAGTTCGGGTGGGATCGTGGAAGAAGAAAGCGACCTGTCATGCGACCCTTGGTCTAGAGGTAATGTGGTATCGGACATCATGCACACAGCAAAATATGACGCCGGCATCTCCCGAGCAGAGTGTGGTGCGTCAAAGGGAGCCGAAACTATGGGTGAATCGGGCTGGCTCAACGAGACTCCATATGTGTGGTTTATCGGGAAAGACTGATACGTCCAATGATCGTTGGCTGGGCTCAAAATCATCGGCGAAGTTTGAATACTGCTGGTTGAGCTGAGGGTGCAGGCAATGTCGCCGTAAGGTACTGACGGGCTTATTGGGCTGTTCGAAACCCACTGGCCTTCTAGAGTCGAGGAGCTCTGGTCGAAGGAAGTTTCCAAGTGCAAGTAGGTAGGACTTGGAATTCTGGCATCTGCCACGGGCTGATGATATGATGAGAGGTCGGTGGGATTAGTGATGCTGTGGTGAAGATTGGGGTCATGGTAGCCGAGATGGTTGCTCGAGTTCTCGTCATATGTCCATCCATGACTGCGCGTATCTGATCGATGTTGGAGGTCTGATGGCAGCCCTTGCCCGAAATGTTCCCCAGGGAGCTGAAACTGATGTCAAGATAGGGACAGGCGTATCTGCTCTCAAGCTTGGTACACGGGGAATAGGGACAACAAAAGGGACGGATCAAGAGTGAAGGGAAAGGTGGTAGAGGAAAGGGGACTCGGGACGTTGCCCACCTGGTTTGTATTATTCTGAATCCACCCCGAAGTTTGCTCCATTCTCACTGTGTTGGTCTGCTGTGTGTGTAGATGATAGATCCAAGATAGGCACCGATAGGCACTGAAATGATGTTAGTTTGGGTGTCAGCCAGGTAACAGAGGGTATGTTCGAAGATAAGAGGGCTTTCCTGGTAGAGGAGACCGTCTTGGGCTTACCCGAACTGAGAGCCAGGGCTAATAATGCGGAGGGTAACCGAATGGGAAGCGGGCAGGGACCCGCTGTGTTGTAGGCTGCGCGGTGAGCTCGTCCGTGTCTTGGTGACTGAACTGGTTGCTACCCCCGCCCGAGACTCCCCTTTCAGTGACTCTGCCTGGTAAGCTGTCTCTGAGACACCCCGGGGGGTCACTGGGCACGGTTTCTCTGCCTCCCCTCTTGGGTTTCATGCCAAGTTTGACGCAGCTGTGTCAATTTCCCAAATAATGTGGTCGGAGAGGTCGCAACGTGTTGTAGGGGGACGCCAATATGCAGTAATCAGCAGAGCCGACGCTCATGGACTGTTCCAGCCACAGGCCTAGGACAGTGGTTGGACGGGTTATACGCTTGCCGAGGTGCGAAGTCTGGTGAAGAGGAGCGGAGGTGGTGAGGCTGCTTGGCTTTTGGGTACCGAATCCGCAATCGCGCGCAGTGCCTCAGTTCCCCGGCGCCACCTTGCTCAAGTGTGGCCGATCCTGGGCCCTTGTATTCCGCAGTTGACTGGGGTGCGAAGCTTGGTGATGTATACCTAACTGGAGTGTTGACGCCAGACTCGTGGTGTCAGTTCCAGGGGACGGCCGCTTTTAGCTTCGTGGGCCACGGCGGGCTCAAGAGAGCTGTCAGTGACAGAAAAGAGATATTTGCCAAAAGAAGCATGCAAGTATTAGGTATCAGAATGCACATCGAACGTGGCAGAGCGACAAAAAGCATTGAGATGTCTGGGACCCTAGTTTGACAGTTTGGTCGATCGACAGCGCAGTGCTCCGAGTCCCCGAAGCGACCTACCAAAGGGACACAGGGACGCAATGTTCGAAGGGCTCAGGGCAGGACGGAGCATGCCCTCTAGGTCCTTGTAACAATCCTAGACCCATGTCGTTATATGGTTTATCGGCCGTCGCGATAACCTCATCACCACCAGCACACATACTCACCTTTTCTTCCCCCTCTCCTCGGGCCGCTCGCGATTTGTCGTGGCTCGGCTGACAGGCAGCGTTCGTGTCCCAAGGGAGACCATTCGCTCGGTTATCTCTAGGCCATTTATTGCCTGCATCGTGACAGGCTCAGAGGGAGACCGGCGAACGACAGAGCCAACACCTATCTGCCCTCCTCGTTCTCACCTGTCAAAGCTCTCCCTGGACCAGTGAAATGGACCAACAGCGGGGCCAGGGACCCGCTAGCATAGTACCGGATTAAATCCCGCCAATAGTTCAGGCATCTTTTGTGGGGGGGATGACCCAGAGAAGCCCCCCCGGTATCATTCCCGGTTGCTTCATCCAACTTGGTGCTTGGCCACATCCACATCCACGGCCAGCTTCTTGGGTTTTCCTCACTCCCGTCGCGGGCCGCCCATTTACGCTATTGCTAGTTGATTTCGGCGAAGTTCCACTTACGTGGTTGAATTCCCACAGCTGCTCCGTTGCGAGCCTCGGAATGGCACGCTGCTGCATGACGGTGGCCAGCCATTTCTTATTCGTTGGGGATCAGCAGCACCAGGGATCCCATGCAAGCCACCAGCACGCAACAAATACTGGGCCGCTCTGAGGTGTCTCCAGCAGTGCAGTCCGGACCTCTGATGGAACCTCACTGCTCAACTTTTTATGACTGCTCACATGTGCTACAAAGGCAAGGACAGCGACATGTTGATGCCTTGGAAGAAGCGTCCCACAAGTGAACTGAGCACGTATCTTCCCAGAGACACCAGGTCCCCAGCTCAGTCAGGTATTGGGGGTCAGGAACCTCGGTCTCGTTTTGTCATATCCCCGAGGCACGGCCCGCCCACCTGCAATACCACACCCAAAAGGTATCGAGAGAAGGCGTGTAAGAGGGACAGGTAACCAGCATACCCCCACGAATGAATTGGGGTGCTCACGGCAGTTGCAGGGACACATCAACAAAGCTCCATTACCTACTTACACTGGTGTTCATTCCACTTCTGAATTCCGCATCTCTGCCTTTGGCATGCTGCCCGTTGCTGGACGAAACCTTCACCTTGTGAAAGAACACCACACCAGTCATCCGCGATGACTGTCGTTATTTGTCAGCGGGCTTAGAGATTGGCTCGAAGCCGACCTCTCGTGAGCCTTGACTTCAGACTCGTTCCGAGGACATACAGCTTGGTGGCCGAAGAGTGTACATGCTTGTCATGCACCTGCGATCCCGAGTTCACTATTATTCTGGCTTACGACGGAGTTGCTCATCAAGACCACAGCCGTTGCTTGGAGTGGTCTGATTGTTTGAAAAGCTAACCATGCTGCGCCTTGATGTGATTTCCTATGACCTCGCCGCTGCATGTCTTAGAAAATATATATAAGATCTGCGGAGAAGCTATGCAGGTCGACTTCTTGACAGGTTTGATGTTTGACAGCTCCGCGGATGCGAGACCTTTTATCTTACAGCACTGGGCGTCAAAGATTGTGGTTGAGAGGTTCTAGAAGCGGTCTATCTTTTTTTCATGTTTTCTTTTGCTGCACTTAGAACCTCATAGCCGAGAGGTCAGAATGCAGGCTAAACAAGGGGGTAAAGTGGCAAACACCGAGGAATTGGTCCACAGGCCTGCAACGTCGTCCAGGGTTCAAAGAGCTTAAATCAACCTCTTTGCTAGATAAGTTCGAGTTTCGGGTTGAATATGATAATGCATGAATAAAAAGGTTTGCTTACAGTGTGGTAATGGCTGTCAAGGGTTTTGGCGAGATGGGGGACCGAACTCCAGAGCAAGCATCTGGTAAGAAAGCGGGGTAACTGGTCAAAAACTGGCTATATTGTGACGGTTTAAACCACAGTGGTAACGTAGCAGACCAGTTGCTCTTTCTTCTTTATCTTTGATCACCGAAGCAGTTCGTGGAGTGAAGTGAACATCCGGCATATGCAGAGTAAGCCCGAGAAGACGTGCAGACAACCAGCAGCCTCACCCCTGACGGATCTGCCTCCGTCATCCAGGTCCCCGGTGAGGGATTCACACAGGGATCATCACATTCCACCATGGGCCACCACATCCGCACAACGATCAACCACTACGATGATCCAGAGGATGGCACCCCCCCAACACCGGTATACGTGGGAAGGTATCTCATGCCCCCCTTCTGTCACCGCTCCCTCTCGTCTCACTCACCAACACCCCCCTTTTCCAGTACCCAAGTCAACAACTCCCGCCCCATGATTGCCATTCCCGTGACAGTCACCGATATCACCGGTCACGAATCGACATTCACCCTTGACACCCACGGCTTCCAATACCACACCAAACCCACCTCCTTTTCGGCCTTCCACGACGAACAGCAGATAGCACACGACTACTACAGGGAGTGTGAGCGCCTCATCCGAGACCTGTCCGTCACGCATCCTTACCCGCACCAATGACCATGTTGCTAAACCCCCACCCAAGCACGAACGCCTCCAACGTTCTAGCCTTCGACCACAAGGTTCGGCGCGGTCCCTCCCACTGGCACAGCATCAAAGAGAACAACGCCGCCTGCCGAGGCCCCTTGCATAGAGCCCATGTCGACCAATCCTACGACGGGGCGGTCCTCAGGCTGAGGGAGCAGTTCCCCAACGAAACTGACTTTACGGCAGTCAGCCAGAAGCGATGGCAGATCATCAATGTAACCCACCCCCCTTTCCCTCCCGGAAAACACCCACTCAACCTACCTAACAACCACCCCCAGATCTGGCGTCCCCTCTCCCCCATCCTGAGAGACCCCCTAGCCCTCTGCTCTGCCCCCTCAGTCCCCGACACCGACCTCCTCCCCGCCTCCATCATCTACCTCAAGACCGGTAAACGCAACGAGTCCTGGACCGTCAAGAAGCCCAAGCCTTCCAGCAGTCACAAGTGGTACTACAAACACCACCAGCAGCCCACAGAAGTAATCCTCATCAAGTGTTTCGACAGTGATCTAACCTGTCCAGCTCGAAGAGTGCCGCACTGTGCGGTTGAAGATCCAGAGCACATAACCGCAGCAGACAGAGAAAGCGTGGAGGTGAGGTGCTTGGTGTTTTACTGACGATAACCACCGCCAAAATGTAGGGATGGAATGAAGGCTCTCAAACAAAGTTGGTATCATTTCAGCCCCCCTGCCCCTATATCCCACTACCCATACTGGTGAAGAAGTACAATTCGAATAAATCTACAGTGAAAAATTGTAGAGATCTCCCAGCAAAGGAGGATGTAATGATACGCGCTTTTGTGTCCTCAAACAACCGCAGCCAGAACTAACTGACGCGGTGGGCATCATAAACAATCTCTGCACCCCTCCTACACCCGCTCCCCACCCACAACCCAGTGTTGACATCTGCATACCGCTCATCGCCCGTCTCCAGCTCGATGACCACACGGAACAAATACCGGTGAGCAGCCACATTGTCGGCCGCCACCGGGTCCTGCAGCCGTTCCATGACATCCCGATCCCCCGTCCACCAGCCCTTGACCTTGCATGTAATCAAGGCAGGTTGTTCGTCATTAGTTTGTAAAAGATAGCTCGCATCAATCCTCGTAGCCATGTCCTTGACCATAGTCTGCTTGTCCTGGCCGCCAGGCAGCAGGATGCCCTTACCAAACCTCCCAGCCCACTGACCGCCAACGCACGAAATCCAGCTTTCCCGGCCAAAGTTGGCAGTGCCGATGCTGAGCTTTGGCTTGACCCGGATACTCATCCGGAAGTCAAGTGTCAAGGACGGGGTAGGCAGCGCCAGTGAGCTGGCGACATCATCCTCGTCAAATTGGTGACGGAGGTTGTTCGCGGGGATCTTCTCCTTCAGCACGCTCTGGTAGCCGGGGCACACCATCAGATGCTCCCGCTGCCTGGAGGTGTTCTTCGCCCGGACCTGGTTGCAATGTAAAACAGCGCCCCAACCTGCACTTGTCATCATCCTTGGCTTTAAACTCGGCAAAGGCAGCGTGAACTTCCGCGGAAGGGTATCTAGGGAAGATTGGATTTTT